GGTCAGGTCTGTAACGTACAGGTGAAAGCAAGAGCCACATTCCTACAGGTAAACGTGACATGTTTCTTGGTACAGTATAGTTAAGATCAAGGCCAACGAGCATCTCCACACAATTTCCAAATTTCCCCATAAATGTTTTTCCTAACCTAACACAAATATACTCAATCAGATCCATTTCACTCAATATTTGACGATATTACTATTATCATCTTGTAAGAGTAGCAATCGTATAAAATACGGGTCTTACACATAATAACAAGGACCTGCAAGTAATAATAGATTTTTGCGCTTGCATGACAACCTGTTTTTCCCCCCCGGAGATGGCGTGGGATCGTGTGGTCCGGATACCCATCAGGGAAAACCCGGTGTAACTCGGGTTTCATAGACCGAGCTAACGCCGGCACCACAGGTCGTGAGTCAAGGTTTCCTACCAACGGCGCACATCTTGAGGCAGTCTTGTTGTCATGGCCCGTAGCTTGGGTCAAGGTTTCCTATCCTGGGACCATAGCATGGGGTCAAGGTTTCCTATCCTGGGACCACAGCATGGGGTCAAGGTTTCCTATCCTGGGACCACAGCATGGGGTCAAGGTTTCCTATCCTGGGACCATAGCATGGGGTCAAGGTTTCCTATCCAGGGACCACAGCATGGGGTCAGGTTTCCTATCCTGGGATCACAGCATGGGGTCAAGGTTTCCTATCCTGGGACCACAGCATGGGGTCAAGGTTTCCTATCCTGGGACCACAGCATGGGGTCAAGGTTTCCTATCCAGGGACCACAGCATGGGGTCAAGGTTTCCTATCCAGGGACCACAGCATGGGGTCAAGGTTTCCTATCCAGGGACCACAGCATGGGGTCAAGGTTTCCTATCCTGGGACCACAGCATGGGGTCAAGGTTTCCTATCCAGGGACCACAGCATGGGGTCAAGGTTTCCTATCCTGGGACCACAGCATGGGGTCAAGGTTTCCTATCCTGGGACCACAGCATGGGGGTCAAGGTTTCCTATCCTGGGACCACAGCATGGGGTCAAGGTTTCCTATCCAGGGACCACAGCATGGGGTCAAGGTTTCCTATCCAGGGACCACATCATAGGGGTATCCTATCCAGGGACCACATCATAGGGGTATCCTATCCAGGGACCACAGCATGGGGGTATCCTATCCAGGGACCACAGCATGGGGGTATCCTATCCAGGGACCACAGCATGGGGTCAAGGTTTCCTATCCTGGGACCACAGCATGGGGTCAAGGTTTCCTATCCTGGGACCACAGCATGGGGTCAAGGTTTCCTATCCTGGGACCACAGCATGGGGTCAAGGTTTCCTATCCTGGGACCACAGCATGGGGGTCAAGGTTTCCTATCCTGGGACCACAGCATGGGGTCAAGGTTTCCTATCCTGGGACCACAGCATGGGATCAAGGTTTCCTATCCTGGGACCACAGCATGGGGTCAAGGTTTCCTATCCAGGGACCACAGCATGGGGTATCCTATCCAGGGACCACAGCATGGGGTCAAGGTTTCCTATCCTGGGACCACAGCATGGGGTCAAGATTTCCTATCCTGGGACCACAGCATGGGGTCAAGGTTTCCTATCCTGGGACCACAGCATGGGGTCAAGGTTTCCTATCCAGGGACCACAGCATGGGGTCAGGTTTCCTATCCTGGGATCACAGCATGGGGTCAAGGTTTCCTATCCTGGGACCACAGCATGGGGTCAAGGTTTCCTATCCAGGGACCACAGCATGGGGTCAGGTTTCCTATCCTGGGATCACAGCATGGGGTCAAGGTTTCCTATCCTGGGACAACAGCATGGGGTCAAGGTTTCCTATCCAGGGACCACAGCATGGGGGTCAAGGTTTCCTATCCAGGGACCACAGCATGGGGTCAAGGTTTCCTATCCAGGGACCACAGCATGGGGTCAAGGTTTCCTATCCTGGGATCACAGCATGGGGTCAAGGTTTCCTATCCTGGGACAACAGCATGGGGTCAAGGTTTCCTATCCAGGGACCACAGCATGGGGGTCAAGGTTTCCTATCTAGGGACCACAGCATGGGGTCAAGGTTTCCTATCCAGGGACCACAGAATGAGGTCAAGGTTTCCTATCCAGGGACCACAGCATGGGGTCAATGTTTCCTATCCAGGTACCACAGCATGGGGTCAAGGTTTCCTATCCAGGGACCACAGCATGGGGTCATGGTTTCCTATCTAGGGACCACAGCATGGGGTCAAGGTTTCCTATCCAGGGACCACAGCATGGGGTCAAGGTTTCCTATCCTGGGACCACAGCATGGGGTCAAGGTTTCCTACCCAGGGACCACAGCATGGGGTCAATGTTTCCTATCCTGGGGCCACAGCATGAGGTCAAGGTTTCCTATCCAGGGACCACAGCATATGGTAAAGGTTTCCTATCCAGGGACCACAGCATGGGGTCAAGGTTTCCTATCCAGGGACCACAGCATGGGGTCAAGGTTTCCTATCCAGGGACCACAGCATGGGGTCAAGGTTTCCTATCCAGGGACCACAGCATATGGTAAAGGTTTCCTATCCAGGGACCACAGCATGAGGTCAAGGTCGTAGCGCAGCACGTTCTCTTGATCTGCCACTCCGTAAAAAAAAAATCCAACCTCCTAACCTAACCAGAAGTTGACCAGACCACACACTAGAAAATGAAGGGACGACGACGAACCGCAGCATACGTATACGTATATTACGTTATATACGTATATAACCAGAAGTATACGAAGCGAAGCAACTCACCTGACCTATCAAGTCGGCTGACAGAGCGACTCTATAACCCATAATTCTTCTGGAAAATGAATGTTCAGCTTTTTTCATTTCTTCCTATAAAAAAAAGGTTTCTAATTCCTTGGACTACCTTTGTTGTCCTTCTGTGAGCTTTTTCAAGTAAATTGTGTCGATTCTACAGTATGGTGACCAAAATTTAATTGCATCATCCAAACGAGATATAGCTCAGGAATAACATTAGCTGTTCTATTAACGCCCTAAAAATAAATCTCAGTGTCCTATTTGGCTTATTACGAACTAGGCATATTTTGTCGCATTCAGACTTTGCAATTTCAGCACTATCTGAACTGCTTTATAGAGTAAGATCCAATTTCAACTAATAGGTCGCGTTTTTTACGTTAATGTAACTAACACTACAGATGCATCCTATTAAGAAAAGTAACGGCTCACAAATATTCCTGTATTCTATGGTTGAGATATAATATTAGTATAAATTATATTTGTATGCCTAATTAAGTCAAGCTTCGATGTTTAAGTTCTAATTTAAATTATGTCTTTGCAAATCAAACAAACCTTTGCAAACCAGGGGCGCCTGACAGCTGGGTGGGCAGAGCTTCGGATTCGTAGTCCTGAGGTTCCGGGTTCGATCCCCGGTGGAGATGGAGACAAATGGGCAAAATGTTTCATTCACCCTGATGCCCTTGTTACCTAGCAGTAAACAGGTACCTGGGAGTTAGACAGCTGCTACGGGCTGCTTCCTGAGGGTGTGTAACAAAAAAGGAGGTCTGGTCAAGGACCGGGCCGCGGGGACGCTAAGCCCCGAAATTATCTCAAGATAACCATTCTCCAATCCAAAATATAAGTCAGATACCGACATGCGTAAATTTTAACGTCAGTATTTGACTTATACAGCTATTACACTAATTCGTTGCAGTGAATTAACACTTTCGCTCAACAACGACAACGATTGTGAGATTGGATGCGCCCCGGCGTACCCATAAAGGGTTAATCCCAAATCCTAATGGTGAAACGAATGATGCGTAACACCAGAAACTAACACGCCTGGAGTCAAACACACAGACAGGCAGATGATTGGGGATCGATAGGGAGTCCCTCAGGGTGACAAGCACCAGCCCCGCCCCGCACAGAGAGCACTGGGAAGCAAAACCAAAAACTCGACCCCTAACTAAAACGAAAAAGTAATCAAGTGCTCTCCGGCAGAGCAGATGCCAGCCCTCAGCAGAACCAAGGCCAAGGGTGCACCAGGAGCCCACCAAGACCCCACCAACCCCTGACACCTCTCGGCCGGGTTGGCGACGGACACCGTCACCCCGCCGGGAGAACCAGCCAGAAAGCGTGAAAAAATCTATCAACAATCCTGTGATCCAAGACATGTGCGCCAGGCGTCGTATACAAACCGTAGCATTGAATAGGAATGCCAAACGACAGTATAATAATCCTAAATCGCAAAACAGAACGTAATCCGGCGGCTTCCAGGGGGAAGAAGTGTCCAGACGTCCGCTCGCCGTCAAGGTTGAACCAGGAGTCCTAGATGCAGTCTGTCCTCATCAACAAAGATCAAAAGTGATTCCATGCACCCGCCAAACCCCGTGTATATGAATGAAAAACGGTTTGCGCCTGTTCACTTAGCATAAATAGATACCTGGGATACATTTAATGGTGCTTACATAGCCTTCCCGGCTTGGTGTCTTCTTTTGATACGACACGACTCACAACTGATGACGTTCGAACACTTCCAGAACAAGTGCTTCACTGACGAATTTTGTTCGAATCACAACGCTATAAATGCCTCACCCACGTACTACAAATACAAATAATCGCCAACAGAACCTAAACACCTAACCCAATCTATGCCTATATAGATGCACAATATGCTAATACATTATAATATTAATTTATATTTGAAAAAAATCCTGTTTTGAATCAACAGCATGTACAAATTTATGAATGCGTCTGTGGGGTCGACCACTGGATGGAATGGACTTGAGTCGAGGACGGGTTGATTCAACTTGCACTTATGTAACTGTTTCACCCGCCCACAATAATTATAAATAATTGCCAATAGAACCTTACCTAACCTAATCAAAGTGTTATATACCAAATTCTATTCTGTAAAAATATAAATATATGAATAAATACCCGTTTTTGTATACAATGCTGCCGCCTCCATTATTATTGCTGCCCTCTCCACAGATTACCTTAGCAGTTATTTAAAGGAAAGATAAGAAATCTATATAAAGTTTCTATATTTGTATTAAAATAATGGTGCTGTTTGGTTTCTACACTTCATACACACACACATATACACATATAAATATATAAACATCAATACATATAAGAGATTATCTGTTTGTCCGAGGTCGGTACCAAACGCTAAGGGCTAGCCACACGGAAATTAGGCCTGTGTGCTGTGAGACGGTATGGAGAGAGTCACAGGGTGGCAGGGGTCAATCCCCGTGCCCTTCTGTAAGAAAGATCGGCTCCTATATCCAAATCCCAGCCATCCATATCAAGTATGAAATGTGGGATTGATTATCCAAAGTGTTAAAATAGATTTTACGGCTGTTATCGACGTTGAATCATTGATAACATTGAATGTTACGAAGGAAATTTTGTCCACTGGGAGAGGGAGGGAGAGAAGCAGAAAGAATGGGAAGGAGGAAGAGAGGAAAACAGAGAACGGAAGTGAGAATGGGATAGAAGCAGAGAGAATGGGAGGAACAGATAGAATCAGAGGGAATGGGAGGGAGCTGTAGAAAACAGAGGGAATGGGAGGAAGAAAGGCAGAGAGAACTGAAGAAAGGGAAGGAGAGGTATTTATATGAAGAAAGCACTAAGCCAACTGAAGAAAGGGAAGGAGAGGTATTTATATGAAGGAAACACTAAGCCATTACAACTATATAGCAAGGAAAGGAGAGAGAGAGAGACAGAGACCCGGGGACCGACCGGTGCCCATCTAGTTTATATATATACTAGAAGGGGGTACCCGGCTGGGCTCGGGTCTCTCCCCACCCCTTCCCCACTCCTCCCTCTTTCGTTTCTTTTTCCGTCCCCCTCTCTCTTCCCTATACTCCCTTCGCCACCATCCCTATCACTTACCACCTTCCTTACATTTCATCACCTTTACTGTTCACCACTTTCTCTTCATTCGTATAGTCATTGCCACTAACAACCATCCTCACTAAGCATAGCATAGCATAGTTAATGTTTCTAGCATAGTTAATGTCTAGCATAGTAAATGTCTAGCATAGTAAATGTTTCTTTCTCGTGCACACGAAAAACTAAAATATAATATGCAGATGGATTTTAGTGAGGATTACATTTATTTAGCGAGATTGGAAATGTGTAATTTGCCATTTCATGTAAAGGGAGATGGGACATGTGGTCGACCCCGACCAGCCTATGTCCAACCATGTACACACATACCAGACATTCTCTTATAGATAGTGAAGGGTGGGTTTATCCTACTACTGTCACCCTCATCAATAGTTGCCCAATGTAATAAAAAAATATTGAGATTGCTGCCTACTTTTGACCTGAGCTTTCCTGATGGGAAACTGAATGAGAGAGATCACGTCAATCCGTCTCCCAGTCTACCCTTCATCATGAGTCTACCAACATGATTTGCGAGTTCGAATTAATTTTAGCTACTTAAAATATAGCATTCCTGTTTGTAACGGATATGTACTTTAAATAAGTTCGTAATCTAAGATTATGTACCGAGTATATTTCAGGCAATTCCAGCATAAATTCTGATGTCTTCGTATAGGCTTGCGAGTCTGGATGACATCAAGGGGTTCTTTTTCAACATCATCAACGCATTTTGGCGCTTGTTGATGACATAGTTGTGCGTGTGTTCGCCCGAGGCCACGTCGAACTCCTGGGCGTCCTGGGCGTCACACACGAGGGCGGGGATGGCTAAGGCGCCGAAGATCAGACCCACCATGTTCCTGTTATAGAATTCATTGGTGATATCATCCACGGTATAGGGCATGACCACCCCCGCCGCTCGCGTCACCTCCCTGAAGGTGGTGTAGTAGGTGACGATTAGTTCTTCCAGCCTGGCGTTCTTCTCGGCGGGGGCGAGGCTGCTGAATAGGAAGTAGTTAAGGTCGTAAGCCAGTGACGTCTTGCGGCACAGCTGGAAGTCTAGCAGCATCACCTCTACCGGCTGGCCGGCGGCGTCGTATCTAAAATACAGGTTTGACATTTACTTACATGTGAATAGATTCATATGTGACCTTAGCAAAATAATATTCTCTCATAGATAACTAAACAACAAAACCACGAGCAAATATTTGACTCGTGGTTTTGGACTCGCGGTTCGTGGAAAGACTGACATAAAACAAGGCACAAGAGGGGGCAGATCTCAGATACAGTTAAGATTCTAGATTAGTTCACTTTTTAAAGTGAGAGGCTACAACTCTATCTTCCAAAATATTAGAAAAAGAAGACTGGAGAGAGCTCTTGTTTTGATACAAAATAAAATATTTATAAGTATTCAACAAAGTATTCAAAGATTTTTCTTCACTAATTTTGCAAACAATCAATTTACCTACATGGAAGATTATATAGACGAAACAAAATATAAGTTTATACGTTCATACTACTTATGTCTTGAAAACCGAAACTTAGGGACATATGCTCTTGGTTATTTGATGTTGTATTAGGAGTGCATTTAAGACTCGTAATACAATCTCATGCATTTATACTGACCAGTGGTATAAATGCGAGTACTGACCTGAAGAGAAAGTTGTTGACCCAGCAATCGCCGTGGCCGATGACATCAAAGGCAGAACTCTCCCGTATCTGTCTCATCAGCACCTCCGTTCCCTGCACCGACAAGGTCCCGAACCACTGCTGCATGTCGTAGCTGCCTGCTGCCCTCGCCAGTTCGGAGGCCGTCTGCAGGCTACCACGGATCAACACATCGTAGGCATTTTTGGTTTGTTCGGAATAATTAAACATCTCCCACTTAAGAAACTTGAATTTGCTTTTCAGGTCTTCTTTAGGAATTTTTGATAGGAACAATACTGAGGCCGCGTGGAGTCTAGCCAGCTCCCTTAGGACAAGAGCTGCATGGGATACACTTAAGTGCTTCTTGCGGTCATGTAGCTTAAATCCAAGAGGCCGAAGGTCTTCTAGAAACAACTGATTTTGACTCTCATTCCAACCAGCGTGAAGACAGCGGGGAACTCTGAGAGGAGTCATCCCGGCACTCTTAAGTTCGTGATTGATTAGTGGCAGCAGTTCGGTATAAAATTTACCCTCTTTATAAAACACCATATCATCAAAATCATTCGTACAACCTTTACGTTTGTTATGCTTCATCTTGACTACATACGACACCTGGCGCTCGCGGCCGTTCTGGCAGAACTTGACGTTGACGCTGGTGATGTCGGCGACGTAGTTGTCTCCCTTGTTGGTGAAGTCGTGACGGGTCCAGGAGAGGAGGCGAGCATCCTGTCCTTGGTCAAGCATCAGCGCCTCCCTCAAACCGGCTTCTGAAACGTGGGGTCTTTGGGGCCCAAGGACACCAACCTTCCCGGATAGGAGAGCTTTGTTCCCGGAGAAGACATTCTTGTTTCCGGGTGGGACATTCTGCTGCTCCAGGAGGACTTCCTGCTGCCTGGGGAGGACTTCTGTCAATAAATCCTTACTGCACGCCATCTGTAACAACACATCTAGTTTACACACACATAATAATTTATACAATAAATTATAATAAATGCTAAGTTTATAACGCGTTCTATTTAAATATAATGTGAGTAAACATGTTACGACAGACTTACTAAACTTTAAGACTCACAATGGTGGTCTTGTACAGCTATTCAGATTTTAATTCCAAAGTAAAGGCTTTCCTATTCTAATTTGACATATATCTATCGTTAGGGATGACTGATATAATAGGAATATTCTAAATTCCTTTCTAATGTGACTGGCCAAGCTTACCACCTTTGGAGTGGATGTTTGTGTCATTGCTCTACCCAAACACAAGCCGCTGTCAGACGAGAGGCTACTGGAAACACACCGGCAATAATTCCAAGTTTTCGAGCTAGTTAGTGCCATATTCATCAGCGGTCATTGGTAGAGCTGGGTGGCACCATATTGATCGGCTGCCATTGGTTGAGCTAGTTGGCGCCACATTGCTGGGCCGCCATTGGTTGAGCAAGTTGGCGCCACATTGCTGGGCCGCCATTGGTTGAGCTAGTTGGCACCACATTGCTGGACCGCCATTGGTTGACGTAGTTGGCGCCACATTGCTGGGCCGCCATTGGTTGACGTAGTTGGCGCCACATTGCTGGGCCGCCATTGGTTGAGCTAGTTGGCGCCACATTGCTGGGCCGCCATTGGTTGAGCTAGTTGGCGCCACATTGTTGGGCCGCCATTGGTTGAGCTAGTTGGCGCCACATTGCTGGGCCGCCATTGGTTGAGCTAGTTGGCGCCACATTGCTGGGCCGCCATTGGTTGAGCTAGTTGGCGCCACATTGCTGGGCCGCCATTGGTTGAGCTAGTTGGCGCCACATTGCTAGGCCGCCATTGGTTGAGCTAGTTGGCGCCACATTGCTAGGCCGCCATTGGTTGAGCTAGTTGGCGCCACATTGCTAGGCCGCCATTGGTTGAGCTAGTTGGCGCCACATTGCTGGGCCGCCATTGGTTGAGCTAGTTGGCGCCACATTGCTGGGCCGCCATTGGTTGAGCTAGTTGGCGCCACATTGCTGGGCCGCCATTGGTTGAGCTAGTTGGCGCCACATTGCTGGGCCGCCATTGGTTGAGCTAGTTGGCGCCACATTGCTGGGCCGCCATTGCTCGTACTGGTTCTCATCATATTGATCGGTGGCCAAAGACATTGAATGTTTTGTTTGCTCAAACATTACCAATTATTATATACAATTCTTATAGATAATGGAATAGTCCAAGTTTAATTATGATCCTAAGGGTCCTAAGTACAGTATTTTAATTACTCAGGGGGGTTCTGACTATAGGGTATTAAGATACTAATGATGTAGTGTGGAACAATAGTGACTACAGTGGCGTGTAGTGTCACGGAACAGGTGTAGCCTGGATTTAGTGAGATCCAGGTTGTGTAATAGGTAGGTTCCAGAATGACCAAGTTGTAATCAAGTAACCAACCAAGTGTTGTGACCAAGTAAAGTTGTCGATGGGCCGAGCATGTGACCAGGGGCCAGATTCACGAAGCAGTTACACAAGTACTTACGAACATGTACAGCTTTCCTCAATCTTTGACGGCTTTGTTTACATTTATTAAACAGTTTACAAGCATGAAAACTTCCCAATCAACTGTTGTTATTGTTATAAACAGACTCATGGTGCTTCGGAGCTCATTAACTGCTTATTAATTGCAAACTAAGCCCCAAAGATTGAGAAAAGATTTACAGGTTCGTAAGTGCTTGCGTAACTGTTTCGTGAATCTGGCCCCAGGAGTATTATGGTTAGCGTAGGGATATTGAAGTCCTTTGCGAGTAACTATTTGGACTGTGGAGAATAGAATGCTGTTATAGATGTTTCATAGTTGATATCATAGATAAAATAAGAGTTTCAGTGGCCTTCCTTATTCTTTGTAACATGTGTATCACAAGCTGCATGGTGCGTCTCCAGGTGAAACTCGGATGGTGACTTATGAATTAGAATTTGAGGTGCTGAGATAGTAACCAGGAATTTACGATAAATGACAGCTCGCTACAACGCCATTATGTCACGTTAATCAATGTGTGGGGCCGCGGTTCAAGTCTCCTAGAGTGCAAGTGTATGAAATCAATTGTATATTAAGCCACTTTAGGCTTCTGTTACGTCAGTTCAAGCGCTCATTATTACACTTCAAGCGCTCATTATTACACTTCAAGCGCTCATTACGTCACTTCAAGCGCTCATTATTACACTTCAAGCGCTCATTACGTCACTTCAAGCGCTCATTATTACACTTCAAGCGCTCATTACGTCAGTTCAAGCGCTCATTACGTCAGTTCAAGCGCTCATTACGTCACTTCAAGCGCTCATTACGTCAGTTCAAGCGCTCATTACGTCACTTCAAGCGCTCATTACGTCACTTCAAGCGCTCATTACGTCAGTTCAAGCGCTCATTACGTCACTTCAAGCGCTCATTACGTCAGTTCAAGCGCTCATTACGTCACTTCAAGCGCTCATTGTCAGTTCAAGCGCTCATTACGTCAGTTCAAGCGCTCATTACGTCAGTTCAAGCGCTCATTACGTCACTTCAAGCGCTCATTGTCACTTCAAGCGCTCATTACGTCACTTCAAGCGCTCATTACGTCACTTGGAACGTTCGCTGTGTTGTTGTTGTTAAAGATTTAGCTACTCAGGACGAAGTGTCCATGTAGCACGGGCTATGGTGAGCCCGTTCGCTGTGCCGCTTATAGCATTAATTATATCACTGGACGTGAGGCGCCACGCAGACAATCACCTCAGAAGAGACGGGAGACATCTCCCGTCACGCAGGGTGCAGTCGCACCTCCACAGATCTCCAGTATCAGCTCTTGATATTGGTAATGGCTCAAAAGGGCCACCACTTACGGGCTATTCATGCCCGTGCCACCTCTTGGGTGACTTAATCTTTTCAATCAAATCACCTCAGAAGATCTGGATGTCAGAAATGTGAATGAGGCGTCTTGTGTGTTGGTCTTCCCCACCCCCAACATGGGCCAGATTCACTAAGCAGTTACGCAAGCACTTACAGACCTTTCCTAAATCTTTAGACGGCTTTGGTTACATTAATTAAAAAGTTTACAAGCATGAAAACCTCCTAATCAACTGTTGTTGTTATAAACAGCCTCCTGGAGCCTCGGAGCTCATTAACTGTTTAATAATTGTAACCAAAGCCGCCAAAGATTGAGAAAAGATGTACAGGTTCGTAAGTGCTTCGTGAATCTGGCCCCCCCCCCCCTTGCTGCCAGTATACATCGCCCACCCTCCCTACACGACCTATATAGCTTTATACAACCTATACAGCCCTATACACTATGGTGTTGTCAATTAGAGAACACCGCCACCACACGTTGTTTGATGTTATAGATTCAGCTACTCGGAACAAGTTCCCAAGTAGCACGGGCTATGGTGAGCCCGTAACTTACCTGGCACAGGAGCGGGGCAAGTAGCACTGGCTATGGTGAGCCCATAGTGGACTTACCTGGCACAGGAGCGGTGCGAGCCACCACAGGCAAGCACTCCCACCTGTGTTAGCACCGGCCTGGAACCCGCACCGGCCTGGAACCCACACCGGCCTGGAACCCGCACCGGCCTGGAACCCGCACCGGCCTGGAACCCGCACCTTGTCCAGCAACAAAACATATACCAGAAATTTTGCAACAAAATTAGCGCCAGAACTAAGCGAGCGGAGCTACGAGGAAACGTTAATAAAACACAATTTCAGAGCACTCGATGATAGAAGAAACAGCGGAGACACGATCACAACATACAAGATACTCAGCGGAAAAGACAAAGCGGTCCAGAACAGCTTCTTTAATTTAGAGAAAGCGGAATAAGTGGAAGCTAGAAACACAGATGACGAACAAATGTAAGAAAATACTTGTACCCTGTACGGGGGGCCAACAAATGGAATATATTGAAAGAAGTAGCTGTGGAAGCCACCTCTATCAACAACTTTAACCCCAGATTCTAATAAGAGGAATTGGAATGTCAGGAAATTGTAATTATAACGCTACAGTACTACAAGACCAGCAGGCGGGGCACCAGAGCTAGACTTCACTCACACGTAGACGCTGACAGGCAAGTACCACCATCTTCAATCTCTTCTTCCACACACCACCACCACCATCACACTACCACTATCACCACCACTACACTACCACTATCACCACCACCACACTACCACTATCACCACCACCACACTACCACTATCACCACCACCACACTACACCACCACTATCACCACCACACTACACTACCACTATCACCACCACCAGCACCACACTACGACTATCACCAACACCACCACCACACTACCACTATCACCACCACTACACTACCACTATCACCACCACCACACTACCACTATCACCATCACACCACCACCACACTACCACTATCACCACCACCACACTACCACCATCACCACCACTACACTACCACTACCACCACCACCACCACCACACTACCACTATCACCACCACTACCACCACCACCACCACCACACTACCACTATCACCACCACTACCACCACCACCACACTACACTACACTATCACCACCACTACACTACCAATATCACCACCACCACACCACCACCACTCTGGCTGGGGTGATAATACAGTGTCCGGGGTCATGCTGGCAGGGAGCCTGGTTGCTATAAATGGCCGCCGACCGTACCTGGGTCAGGGCCAGCCACTCCCAACACGGCGCAGCCCAACATGTCTCTACTTGACGTTGACTCAGTTCTTTGCCACAAAATGTTTTGTACTTTACTTAATTTAACAGCATAAAACCATTTATTTATTTATTTATTTATTTATATACAAGAAGGTACATTGCGATTTATTTAATTTATTTATTTATTTATTTATTTATTTATATACCATCAAGCAATGGATCTATTTAAGGATTCAGAAATAAAAATATTAATTACATGGGGAACATTGCGAACTATGGGGTTCAGTTCCTGAACCGATTATGTGCCTATCTAACCCTTTCCACCACCGCCCACGTGATGGGTATGGGGTGCATAATAAGGAAATACATTGAATTGAGAACACTGCGGAAACTCTTAACGACCGATATGATCCGTAAGAGCCACTTAAGTGCCTTAAAGGGAGAACAAATATAATACTTGAATCATAGCAACGACACCTGGCCAGTAGCAGCGACACCTGGCCAGTAGCAGCGACACCTGTCCAGTAGCAACGACACCTGGCCAGTAGCAGCGACACCTGGCCAGTAGCAGCGACACCTGGCCAGTAGCAGCGACACCTGGCCAGTAGCAGCGACACCTGGCCAGTAACAACGACACCTGGCCAGTAGCAGCGACACCTGGCCAGTAGCAACGACACCTGGCCAGTAGCAGCGACACCTGGCCAGTAGCAACGACACCTGGCCAGTAGCAGCGACACCTGGCCAGTAGCAGCGACACCTGGCCAGTAGCAGCGACACCTGGCCAGTAGCAGCGACACCTGGCCAGTAGCAGCGACACCTGGCCAGTAGCAACGACACCTGGCCAGTAGCAGCGACACCTGTCCAGTAGCAACGACACCTGGCCAGTAGCAGCGACACCTGGCCAGTAACAACGACACCTGGCCAGTAGCAGCGACACCTGGCCAGTAGCAACGACACCTGGCCAGTAGCAGCGACACCTGGCCAGTAGCAACGACACCTGGCCAGTAGCAGCGACACCTGGCCAGTAGCAGCGACACCTGGCCAGTAGCAGCGACACCTGGCCAGTAGCAGCGACACCTGGCCAGTAGCAACGACACCTGGCCAGTAACAACGACACCTGGCCAGTAGCAGCGACACCTGGCCAGTAGCAGCGACACCTGGCCAGTAGCAGCGACACCTGGCCAGTAGCAGCGACACCTGCAGCGACACCTGACCAGTAGCAGCGACACCTGGCCAGTAGCAGCCAGTAGCAGCGACACCTGACCAGTAGCTGCGACACCTGGCCAGTAGCAGCGACACCTGGCCAGTAGCAGCGACACCTGGCCAGTAGCAGCGACACCTGGCCAGTAGCAGCGACACCTGGCCAGTAGCAGCGACACCTGGCCAGTAGCAACGACACCTGGCCAGTAACAACGACACCTGGCCAGTAACAACGACACCTGGCCAGTAACAACGACACCTGGCCAGTAACAACGACACCTGGCCAGTAGCAGCGACACCTGGCCAGTAGCAGCGACACCTGGCCAGTAGCAACGACACCTGGCCAGTAACAACGACACCTGGCCAGTAGCAACGACACCTGGCCAGTAACAACGACACCTGGCCAGTAACAACGACACCTGGCCAGTAGCAGCGACACCTGGCCAGTAGCAGCGACACCTGGCCAGTAGCAACGACACCTGGCCAGTAACAACGACACCTGGCCAGTAGCAACGACACCTGGCCAGTAACAACGACACCTGGCCAGTAGCAGTAACGACTGGGGGTTGCTTGCTCATACAAACTGCCTGTACATGAAAATTAGTGTTTACCTTTGTGATGGCCTAAAAGTGTCCGAGTACTGTACGAGGAGCGAGCGTGGTCGTTGGTCAGAAAAAATGGACCTAATTAATTAAATTAATTAATGATGAAATAGTAAAGTTCATAGTTACTTATCGATGTTGTTGGGATTAATAAATGAACACTTTTCTTCCATGATATATGCGCACCATAAATGTGAAAGCTGTTCGGTCTTCCATTTAAGAAATATGAATACAAATCCTTCTTGGCTTTATGTAGATCATTTACAAACGATTGTATCAAAAAGCAAGAAAAGGGACAACAATAATCGTAAAATATAAACCAACAGATTAAGAAAAACATTAAGTAAAAGACAGATGCACCAAGAAAAAAGTGAAGAGAGAAGCAGAAGGAAGGAAGGAGTCGAGGGTAACGTCAACAATGAGAGAGCGAGTTTAAAGGAGCCGCTAAGTGGTGGTTGAGAGCCGCCGCTCACTGGACCAACAAGTGTGCAGTCTCAAGGAGACAATAAACACTGCTCTTGAAACAGTTAAGTCCTTAAATGAGACCGTGAACTCTTCTGGGGAGACAGTGAACCCTTCTGGCTAAACAGTGAACACTTCTGACGAGACAGTGAACCCTTCTGGCGAGACAGTGAACACTTTGTGTATAAGGCCAGCCCGTCCTCCAAACAAAGATCCAAAAGTGATTCCATCCACCCGCCAAACCCCCTGTTTATGAATGAAAAGCGGTTTACACACGACTCACAACTGCTGACGTTCGAACATATCCGGAACAAGTGCTTCACTGACGAATTTTGTTCGAATCACAACGCTATAAATGCTTCACCCACGTACTACAAATACAAATAATCGCCAACAGAACCTAAACACCTAATCTAACCTATCCTATACCTATATATGCACAATATGCTAATATATTATAATATTAATTTATACTTGCAAAAATTCCCGTTTTGAATGAACAGCATGTTAAAATTTATGAATGCGTCTGTGGGGTTGACCGCTGAATGTAATGGACTTGAGTCGAGGACGGGTTGGTATAAGGACAAGCTAAGTCAGTGCACAAATGCTTCTTAATCCAATCGCTAAATCCCCCACATTAATGAATAATGCAAAACTTAATACATAACTCGCATCTAATTACCTTTTTGAACTTTCTTGGACAGTCCTTCACTTTCCTCGTGTAATCGAATACGTTCCTCTCTAAATGCTTCACCCACGTACTGTAAATACAAATAATTACAAACAGAACCAAAACGTAACCTATCTATAGACAAATTAATAATGTATAATATGAATATGTATATGAGAAAGTACCTGTTTTCATTATACAGAACCTTGAAGTTATTGCCCACGTGTTTGGTCGATGCTTGCTGCACACAGAATGATGATGGGTTTACTAGAATATGTGAACCTTCTCATGAGACAGTGAACCTTTTGACGAGACAGTGAACACTTCTCACGAAACAATGAACACTTCTCACGAAACAATGAACACTTCTGAATAGAAAATCTGTATCTCGCCTTTAATTAAAAATAAAGATCGGAAGGATTTAAAATATTTGAATTCATTAATGAGTACGATTATTATTACTTTGCCTAATCCTTCACGTCGACCTTCCAGCCTTTAAACAATCTAACTGCTAATTAAAACCATACTGACCGTGCTCCATATACTCGGGTTAATGGGAGCAGTTGTGGTGTGGTAGTCTCCTGGGGCCAGATTCACTAAACAGTTACACAAGCACTTACGAACCTCTACATCTTTTCTCGATCTTTGGCGGCTTTGTTTACAATTATTAAACAGTTAATGAGCTCCGAAGCACCAGGCGGCTGTTTATAACTATAACAACAGTGGATTGGGAGGTTTTCATGCTTGTACACTGTTTAATAAATGTAACCAAAGCCGTCAAAGATTTAGGAAAGATGTACACGTTCGTAAGTACTTGCGTAACTACTTCGTGAATCTGGCCCCTGTCAACACCCTAGATGCTTCCAGGGGTACAGACAGCGTGCTTTTACCATCACCCGATACCTCACACACTCTCTATTGAAATTGGGCAGCTGTAACATACTAAGCTGGTAATTGGAACACACCGACACGCCAGCTTCATGAAAGAAGTCCACTACGGGCTCACCATAGCCTGTGCTACTTGGAACTTTTAGTTCCATATAGCGAATCTTAAACAACAACAACATCAGCTTCATCTAACGTACATTCCTTCAGCTGACGTATCTAGCCTTCAAGTTGGAGTGCGTTTCTTGAGACAATCTCAATCTCAACATCTCAAAGGGGATAGAGTAGCTTAGGGGTCAGATTCACGAAGGAGTTACGCATGTACTTACGAACGTGTACATCTTTTCTCAATCTTTAGCGGCTTTGTTTACAATTATTAAACAGTTTACAAGCATGAAAACTTCCCAATCATCTGTTGTTATTGTTATAAACAGCCTCCTGGTGCTTCGGAGCTCATTAACTGTCTAATAATTGTAAACAAAGCCGCCAAAGATTGAGAAAAGATGTACACGTTCGTAAGTACTTGCGTAACTGCTCCGTGAATCTGGCCCTAGGCTGCTTCTACCCTCCACGCCCTCAAAAACATACAGGGTAAAATTAACTTAACAGCTGCTCGACAATTACCGTAACTGGATATTAACGTTGAATTTTAAAACATGTAAGGGGCCTAAATATAATCAGTGTATAAACAACATAACATATTTAACCTGTGCAATTTTGTTATATTCTGAATGGTGCAAAAGTTACAAGTGTACACAAGGACTGATATCCATCTACTGTAACGCAGCTGTATACAACAGATCATCTCCTTGTTCCCGGCACCGCTCCTGTGCCAGGTAAGTCCACTACGGGCTCACCATAGCCCGTGTTATTTACCCCGCTCCTGTGCCAGGCAAGTTACGGGCTCACCATAGCCCGTGCTACAGGGAACTTGTTCCGAGTAGCTGAATCTATAACAACAACAACCCTGTTCCCGGGAATAATTCCGCGGCTCCCGAATACTTTGGCATGTCCCGAAATACTTTCCCTGATCCCGAAATATTTTCCCGAGGTGCACAATAAACTACCAGATATACGTAAGTATGGGGTGCACAATAAACTACCAGATATACGTAAGTATGGGGTGCACAACAAACTACCACACATACATAAGTATGGGGTGCACAACAAACTACCACACATACGTAAGTATGGGGTGCACAACAAACTACCACACATACGTTAAGTATGGGGTGCACAATAAACTACCAGACATACGTAAGTATGGGGTGCACAACAAACTACCAGACATACGTAAGTATGGGGTGCACAACAAACTACCACACATACGTAAGTATGGGGTGCACAACAAACTACCAGACATACGTAAGTATGGGGTGCACAACAAACTACCACACATACGTAAGTAAAGAGTGCACAACAAACTACCACACATACGTAAGTATGGGGTGCACAACAAACTACCACACATACGTAAGTATAGGGTGCACAACAAACTACCACACATGAACCTTGAAGTTATTGCCCACGTGTTTGGTCGATGCTTGCTGCACACAGAATGATGATGGGTTTACTAGAATATGTGAACCTTCTCATGAGACAGTGAACCTTTTGACGAGACAGTGAACACTTCTCACGAAACAATGAACACTTCTCACGAAACAATGAACACTTCTGAATAGAAAATCTGTATCTCGCCTTTAATTAAAAATAAAGATCGGAAGGATTTAAAATATTTGAATTCATTAATGAGTACGATTATTATTACTTTGCCTAATCCTTCACGTCGACCTTCCAGCCTTTAAACAATCTAACTGCTAATTAAAACCATACTGCCCGTGCTCCATATACTCGGGTTAATGGGAGCAGTTGTGGTGTGGTAGTCTCCTGGGGCCAGATTCACTAAACAGTTACACAAGCACTTACGAACCTCTACATCTTTTCTCGATCTTTGGCGGCTTTGTTTACAATTATTAAACAGTTAATGAGCTCCGAAGCACCAGGCGGCTGTTTATAACAATAACAACAGTGGATTGGGAGGTTTTCATGCTTGTAAACTGTTTAATAAATGTAACCAAAGCCGTCAAAGATTTAGGAAAGATGTACACGTTCGTAAGTACTTGCGTAACTACTTCGTGAATCTGGCCCCTGTCAACACCCTAGATGCTTCCAGGGGTACAGACAGCGTGCTTTTACCATCACCCGATACCTCACACACTCTCTATTGAAATTGGGCAGCTGTAACATACTAAGCTGGTAATTGGAACACACCAACACGCCAGCTTCATGAAAGAAGTCCACTACGGGCTCACCATAGCCTGTGCTACTTGGAACTTTTAGTTCCATATAGCGAATCTTAAACAACAACAACATCAACTTCATCTAACGTACATTCCTTCAGCTGACGTATCTAGCCTTCAAGTTGGAGTGCGTTTCTTGAGACAATCTCAATCTCAACATCTCAAAGGGGATAGAGTAGCTTAGGGGTCAGATTCACGAAGGAGTTACGCAATAACTTACGAACGTGAACATCTTTTCTCAATCTTTAGCGGCTTTGTTTACAATTATTAAACAGTTTACAAGCATGAAAACTTCCCAATCATCTGTTGTTATTGTTATAAACAGCCTCCTGGTGCTTCGGAGCTCATTAACTGTCTAATAATTGTAAACAAAGCCGCCAAAGATTGAGAAAAGATGTACACGTTCGTAAGTACTTGCGTAACTGCTCCGTGAATCTGGCCCTAGGCTGCTTCTACCCTCCACGCCCTCAAAAACATACAGGGTAAAATTAACTTAACAGCTGCTCGACAATTACCGTAACTGGATATTAACGTTGAATTTTAAAACATGTAAGGGGCCTAAATATAATCAGTGTATAAACAACATAACATATTTAACCTGTGCAATTTTGTTATATTCTGAATGGTGCAAAAGTTACAAGTGTACACAAGGACTGATATCCATCTACTGTAACGCAGCTGTATACAACAGATCATCTCCTTGTTCCCGGCACCGCTCCTGTGCCAGGTAAGTCCACTACGGGCTCACCATAGCCCGTGTTATTTACCCCGCTCCTGTGCCAGGCAAGTTACGGGCTCACCATAGCCCGTGCTACTGGGAACTTGTTCCGAGTAGCTGAATCTATAACAACAACAACACTGTTCCCGGGAATAATTCCGCGGCTCCCGAATACTTTGGCATGTCCCGAAATACTTTCCCTGATCCCGAAATATTTTCCCGAGGTGCACAATAAACTACCAGATATACGTAAGTATGGGGTGCACAATAAACTACCAGATATACGTAAGTATGGGGTGCACAACAAACTACCACACATACATAAGTATGGGGTGCACAACAAACTACCACACATACGTAAGTATGGGGTGCACAACAAACTACCACACATACGTTAAGTATGGGGTGCACAATAAACTACCAGACATACGTAAGTATGGGGTGCACAACAAACTACCACACATACATAAGTATGGGGTGCACAACAAACTACCACACATACGTAAGTATGGGGTGCACAACAAACTACCACACATACGTAAGTATGGGGTGCACAACAAACTACCACACATACGTAAGTATGGGGTGCACAACAAACTACCAGACATACGTAAGTATGGGGTGCACAACAAACTACCACACATACGTAAGTATGGGGTGCACAACAAACTACCACAACAAACTACCAGACATACGTAAGTATGGGGTGCACAACAAACTACCAGACATACGTAAGTATTGGGTGCACAACAAACTACCACACATACGTAAGTATGGGGTGCACAACAAACTACCAGACATACGTAAGTATAGGGTGCACAACAAACTACCAGACATACGTAAGTATGGGGTGCACAACAAACTACCAGACATACGTAAGTATAGGGTGCACAACAAACTACCACACATACGTAAGTATAGGGTGCACAACAAACTACCACACATACGTAAGTATGGGGTGCACAACAAACTACCACACATACGTAAGTATAGGATGCACAACAAACTACCAGACATACGTAAGTATGGGGTGCACAACAAACTACCAGACATACGTAAGTATAGGGTGCACAACAAACTACCACACATACGTAAGTATAGGGTGCACAACAAACTACCACACATACGTAAGTATGGGGTGCACAACAAACTACCAGACATACGTAAGTATAGGGTGCACAACAAACT